ATTTATATATATAAAATAAAAATTATTCTAGAAATATTTTTCTTTAAACAAAAAATTTAGGGATGCCTGGGTCGATAGAACTTCGATCTATAATGGGGACTCCACAGGGTCATCGAAGCCCATCGAATATTACGGATGGGATATTTGACGGGTCCTAATGTAGTCGCTTAAATTCCCCTTCACTCGAAGTCCTTGTAAGATGGCCCTCGCGCAAGGTAATAGACCTCTGTGTGTTGTGTTGTTTTCTGGTTCCGTCTACCCTTTTTTTTTACAATGCGTAAGAACTCACAAGCATCCCGTTGCGGTGTATGTTAGCCCAATGGCGCAGCCAGGAGCGAGTGCAAAGGCTTACGCGCATGATACACATTTCTCCACGCTTGTTTCTGAGCACCATACTTGAGTATGTACGCTACCTGCTGGAGTGGCTAACTGCAAACAGCCAGGCTTGTACATTAAGGTAGCAAGTATTGCTGCTGTAAAGAAGCCGTGTAATTTGGCCAACGTCTGTTGGACAAGTGCGGCAGCCGGGGTGGCCCTTTATGCGTCATGGTGTCTGCCAGAGGTCGTGTGGCGTGAAAGCGGTGTGTCATGTAGGGCTGCATGATGATGGGGAGGAGGAGTTGTAGTGCTTCTACAAGCTTCACGTGCGGGAGCGGGGGCCTTCCCTCGTCGACCACTAGGCTTCCCAGCGCTGGTGACCACTTCTGATAACACCAGTGGTCTTCCATTTTTGTGCTGCCGCAAAGAGGAGGGAGCCCAACTTGCTACAGAAGCTCGCGCAGCAGGGTTTAGGGTTTAGGGTTTAGGGTTTAGGGTTTAGGGTTTAGGGTTTAGGGTTTAGGGTTTAGGGTTTAGGGTTTAGGGTTTCCCCGACCCCATTCCCGAAGCGTTTTGGAGCCTCAACGTCAAAAAACCTCACACTTAGAGAACCTGGGCTTTGGAGTACCACGTCCTTGCCGAAATTTCCCCCAACGCTGACTTCTTCACCTCTGTTTTCGATCCTCAGGGTCGCATGCTTCTGCTCTTGCAGTGGAATCAACTTTTGTGCTTCTTTGGGATGTAAAATGTAAAAGAGCACCTACACGATGGCCCTTTCCACAACAGCCACAGTTGGAATTCTCCCACTTTGCCTGAAGCTGGTTGCCGCGTCTTCTGCATTCAGCATGACAACCAGACGATCCTTCATTCCACCGATGAACTCGCTGGAGGGATCTTGCAGAACGAACTTGCGGCCACCCAGGAAAATGACCGCAGCATCCTGTCCACAGAATGACAGCAAAACCCTAAACCCCTAAACCCTAAACCCCTAAACCCTAAACCCGAAACCCTAAACCTCAACCCAAACCCCAACCACACCACCCCACAGGGGGGCCCAAACCACAGGGGGACGGGGCGCGGACCCTAAACCCTCTACCCTAAACCCTAAACCCTAAACCCTAAACCCTAAACCCTAAGCCCTAAGCCCTAAACCCTAAACCCTAAACCCTAAACCCTAAACCCTAAACCCTAAACCCTAAACTCTAAACCCTAAACCCCCCCCCCCCCCCCACCCCCCCCCACCCCCCCCACCCCACCCCCACCCCCACCCCCCCACCCCCCCACCCACCCACCCCCACACCCACCCCACACCCACCCACACCCACACCCACACACCCACCCACACCCACACCCACCACCCCCACCCACCACCCCACCCCCCACCCACCCCACCCCCCCACCACCCCCACCCCCCCACCCACCCCCACCCACCACCACCCACCCCACCCCCACCCCCACCCACCCCCACCCACCCCCACCCACACACCAACACCCACCCACACCCACCCACACCCACCCACACAAGATCATGGGTCGAGTAATTAAGATGGATGCTTATAGATGCTGAAACCACGATTCGTCTCACGAGAACGTTGTTTTGATTTCGGTTGTTTGTCTCAATCATTGTTGGTATATTTCACTTAGGAATCTTCGTTTGGCCTTATCATTTTATCACCGTTCTGAGATGTCTCGTAATTGGGGGTAATGCGGACTTTTAAGCACGTCTAGGTGTTTTAGAGAATTCGAAACTCTTCTTACTGTCGTGGATATAGATTCCCTTTCATTTACTTGGGCGCAAATACCGCCCGCATAGTATGTTTCACCGAAGATATGAATGACAGAACTCCACAACAATCTCCAGGAGTCTCTGGGTTGGGCACTCCAAGGACTCCAAGAGTCTCTAGTTAGGCACTCCTCTCTAGAGTTGGGCGGGTTGGGCACTCCAAGGGGGAGACTCTGGAGTTGGGCACTCCAGGAGTCTCTGGATTGGGCACTCCAAAGATTGGGGTAGTCTCTGGTAATTTCTGGGGTAGCACTCCAACAATTCTCTGAGGTTGGGCAGTCCAGGGAGTCTCTAGGAGTAGACCGGGCGAGAAGAAGAATTCCGGGCGAGGAGAAGAGTTGAATTTAAAATATAAACAACCCCAGACCGAAGGTGGGGAATCATATTTATCTCTCGAAAGGATACGCTGAATAGAATGAACCATAAAAGAAAAGATTCTTACGTCTCGGTCGTGCAGTAATTGTAGGACAACTACATGGCTGTATGATATAGTTCAAGCAAAATTCGTAATATCTCAACACAATTCACAATTTTCATTTTAGCTTTATGCTTGGTGGATGTTGGAAACGAAATGACAACAACCGATGAAAAGGAATCCGATAAACTTCAACATGGTGAATGTTCTTGCACATTCCTTTGTTTAAGCTTGTCAATGAGCCCCACAAGCACGGAGTGAATGCGTGACGCCACTGGGAAGACCTAGTTAATTCCAACCGTCTCCTCCCCCCTCACCCAAAGAGCGCACGCTATGCACAAGAAAGGTGAGTGATCTATAGCTCGAAGCTCACGTGCGGCCTGCTTTTTTCAGTCCGATTCCATCTCTTCTTCGTTTTTCATGAGCTCCCAGGCACCTTGCAGGCGATAAGCTTCTCAACTCTACGATTCAATCCACAAAGCCCGAGGGATTTTGTGCAAACCACGTGCGGTATACGATCAAGGGTTGCGCTGGTTTAGGGTTTCTAGACGCCGTAAGTGTTACAAGAACGCCAGAATTGTTTCCCTCCTACAACCCAAAACCCAAAACCCCAAAATCGTATACCCTAAAACCCAAAACCCAAACCCTAAACCGTAAACCGTAAACCCTAAACCCTAAACCCTAAACCCTAAACCCTAAACCCTAAACCCTAAATCCTAAACCCTAAACCCTAAACCGACTTGCCTGGCGATGGCTTCGTTGAGGGCATCTTCCTCGGCCACCAGTTCCAATCTCCGGCGGAGAGCATCAAAGCGGGGACCTTTGCCGACCGAAGCGTCGTTTAGGGTTTAGGGTTTAGGGTTTAGGGTTTAGGGTTTAGGGTTTAGGGTTTAGGGTTTAGGGTTTAGGGTTCAGGAGGTCCATGGGATCAAAAATGCCCGATTCTTCCTGCACTTCCTCCTACGTGCCCGAATTATGTTCTTAAAGTTGGGTTGTCAATCTACGAGGTTCATGGGTTCTTAGAAGTCGGGTTACAAGTATGGTGAGTCGGGTACTTATAAGCCTACTTGTTATAAGTACTCAAGAACCTTACTAACCTGGAAGTGCAGGTCCAAACACGTTTGAAGCTGTCTAGCACCCTGTCCGGTGAAAAACGAGCCAACTTTCACCTGGGTAGGGTTGAGCTGCAGTTAGAAGTCAGACGCAGTGCTCAGGCCCTAGAACCCAAAACCAGAATGAATGGAGTTTCGCTCAAGCCAGGTCAAGCTACCAGCACGGTCCGCACCACAAAAGTGTCCAGCAGCACCGATGTCACCAGCAGCAGCGCCAGCTGCTGGTGCAGAAGCTTCGAGGAGAAAAACCTAAGTCAGGGGCCGAGGCGCGCATGTCTCACATAGGGCTTGCCGAAAATATGGGTACCGTTTTTGGGGGGGGTCCTTTTGAAGAACCCCAAACCCTAAACCCTAAGCCCTAAATCCCAAATCCTAAACCCTAAACCCTAATCAGAAAACACCATAAGCCCAAGAAGGGCGCGCATCTCTGGGAGCTCCGTCTCTGCGACTTTTCCACTCTTTTTTTGCACCAGGGCTCTCCCCTACTTGGAGGTTTACGGTTAGGGTTTAGGGTTTAGTGTTAGGGTTTAGGGTTTAGGGTTTAGGGTTTAGGGTTTAGGGTTGAGGGTTTAGGGTTTAGGGTTTAGGGTTTAGGGTTTAGGGTTTAGGGTTTAGGGTTTAGGGTTTAGGGTTTAGGGTTTAGGGTTTAGGGTTTAGGGTTTAGGGTTTGCTAACACACCAACTATAGCTGTACTTATAAGCCCCCTAAGTCCTCTAAGCAGGTTGTAAGTAGACTTGCAAGTGGGGTTTTAAGTACCCCTGAAGCTTCAAGTAGATGTTCCCCCTTATAATCACAGTCCTGAATGACCTAAACCCTAAAGCCTAAACCCTAAACCCTAAATCCCTGAGGGGATTTTCATAGGGGGGTACTATAACCCCTATTAAGGACCGTTAGTATGAGGGGAAGACCCCAAGCTCACCCCCTAAACCGCTTGCACAAAACCCCAAAAACGAACCAGATTTAGGGTTTAGGGTTTAGGGTTTGGGGTTTGGGGTTTAGGGTTTAGGGTTCAGGGCTCAGCGTTTTTCAGTCTAAACAAAAACCCGACTGTGTAAAACGCCGATGAGGCCTCGCTCCTAGCTGAGCCGTCCACCTGCTGCCAGCAGGGTTTCGCAATTTTTTTTGCATCCACGAGGCCCTAAACCCTAACCCCTAAACCCTAAACCCTAAATCCTAAACCTTAAAACCCTAAAAGCCCTAAACCTTAAACCATTCATACAACCCGTGTTTTGAAGAGGGCTGACATGCCCAGCTGATGCCAAGGCGGACTCTAGAGTCTTTGTAGTCCCCATCAAGCTCACGGATAGAGGGTCTAGGGTTTAGGGTTCAGGGTTTAGGGTTTAGGGCCTAGTTGGGCTGCTCCTTAAGGATCTTAAGCGTTTACTTGTCGGAGGTTTGAGTGGCAAGGGACGACACAGCCTTGTCGACTTGCCAAAAGGTCCACCCACCGGTTTAGGGTTTAGGGCCATAGGGGGGTGGGTATAGGGGACAGGAAATCAAGAAATCCTGAAAGCCTTAATGAAATCAACTTCGAGAGACAGGCCAGAGAAGGCTAAGGCCATGATCAAGCCTTCAGGCAGTGTGCCGTAGCGGAGGGGTTGAGCTTGGTTTTGGTTTTCAAAGGTTTAGGGTTCGGGTTCAGGTTTTCGGGGTTCAAATGGGTTTAGGGTTTCGGGTTTGGAAGTTTAGGGTTTAGGGCTACTTGGATGGCTACGTATAGGTAGGGTTATAAGCTGGTTAACTATGGTTACAAACCTTATTTAGGGTCGTTTAACCCTGCTTCTAAGTACCCATGAAGCTTTAACTACGGATATACTCTTAAGTACCCAAGCATAAAGACTTTTGCCAGTAGAGTTTAGTTTAGGGTTCCTTAGTAGCCCAGTAACCATATTAGAATAAGGGCCACCCTTTTTTGAGTTGGTTACTTTATAAGGGAAACCGGAACCCCAAAAAGGGAAAACGGTACCACTGGGCTACCAAGGGTTCAGGGTTCCCTTTTTTTGGGTTGGTTGTGTTGTTATTTTTATGAAGGAAACCAGAACCCAAAAAGAAAGGAAAAGGGTACCACTGGGCTACCAAGGGTTCAGGGTTCCCTTTTTTTGGGGTTCGAGAATCATGACACGCTTCAGGGCTTTGGGTCTAGGAATTTAGGACTTGGCGCTTGGGGCAAACTAATCTTCAACCCGAATCCCTAACCCTAAACCCTAAACCCCAAACCCTAAACCCTAAACCCTGAAAGCTGGAAGCCTGCACCGGAGATGATCCCGCCAGTGCTCGCGACACCATAGACGATGCTGGAGCTGTCCTGAAGTCCCACTGACGATAGAAGCCCTAAACCCTAAACCCTAAACCCTAAACCCTAAACCCTAAACCCTAAACCCTAAACCCTAAACCCTAAACCCTAAACCCTACACCCTAAACCCTAAACCCTAACTGCCCGGGGCCAAGGAATCGAGCTCCCCTGAGCATAGTAACCGCCCTGCTCAAGGAACGACAGCAACTCAAGTCATTTACACCAATTGGCATATCGAAACCATACGGCCCTGATACCCAAACTGGTGAAATCCTTCGTTCACGGTTGAAGCCCACTGACATACTCAGCCCAACCCTTCTCCTCATGAAGCCCAAACACCCTCAAGCAAGTGAAGAAGACTGCGGTTACAGAAAAAAAAACTATACCCTAAACCCTAAACCCTAAACCCTAAACCCTAAACCCTAAACCCTAAACCCTAAACATCAAATCCAAGCCCTTCAGATTCCCAAACTTAAACCCCTCCTCATTTCCGAGCACGAGTTGCTGTAAAGCCTTTGAGCCGGAATTCCACGATCCGGCTCCTCACTTGCACATGTCTCTACACACAGTAGGTTTAGGTTTTAGGGTTTAGGGTTTAGGGTTTAGGGTTTAGGGTTTAGGGTTTAGGGTTTAGTGTGCTTCCTCCTGCGCCACTGAGGCAAATCCACATCGCCAGAAAGAGTTTAGAGTTTAGGGCTTAGGCTTCTTATGGCTTCTTTACACTGTAAAACCCTAAACCCTAAACCCTAAACCCTAGAAAGGAACAGAGCTGCCATGCCAATCTTGGTTCAGCTGGGATCCCCAGCAACCCGGGGTTACAAAGTTTGCAATTGTAGACCAGACCAAGGAATTGTCACGTCATCGGCATAGGGTCTAGGGTTTAGGGTTTAGGGTTCAGGGTTCAGGGTTCAGGGTTTAGGGTTTAGGGTTTAGGGTTTAGGGTTTAGGTTACAATGCTTACTCATGGATGCGAAAACACAACGTGCAATTTCGAGTTCATGACCTCGTCATGTGCGCCGTGTCCTGGGCTGTATTTGGGGTCGGCTTGTTTATGAGAATGTGTGGAACAGACCTCCATGACCTTGGTTCCGAAGAAAGCCGCCTGCGACGTAGCTCTGAAATGTGCTTCTCGTGCTTGCATGATTATACCCCTAAACCCTAGACCCTAGACCCTAAACCCTAAACCCTAAACCTTAAACCTTAAACCCAAAACACTAAGCCCGCGTCTAGCCAAGGCAAGGCTCACGAGGAAAATGTCGTAGTCCAGCCCCAATGCAATCGCCACGCTCACGGCAATGGGAACGATCTCGAAACACAGGCCGCTGTAATCCTGGGTCTCGCATGGGACTGCAACCAGACAAAATCAGAGCCCTAAACCCTAAACCCTAAACCCTAAACCCTAAACCCTAAACCCTAAACCCTAAACCCTAAACCCTAAACCCTAAACCCTAAACCCTAAACCCTGAACCCTGAACCCTGAACCCTGAACCGAAGCACACTAAGGATCGGCAGGACCAGGACCCCGCAGTACCCAGAGGTCGTCGTAGGTGTTGTGGCAGCACAGCAGCGGCTGCTATAGCTTCATAATTCATACGTGGGCAGTTCTGTAACACCCATCTTGGGTACCCATATAACATGGGGGCCCTGTAACTTCCACCCCCCCCCCCCCCCCCCCCCCCAAAAAAAAAAAAAAAAAAAAAAACGAAACCCTCAACTCCAAACCCTAAACCCTTAACCCTAACCCCCCCCCCCCCCCCCCCCACGGACACAGAGTTTTCGGCGATAAACCTAAACCCGCAACCCTAAACCATAGACCCTAAACCCTAAACCCTGTCCACCCCATAAACCCTCAACCCACGTGCAGCCAAGGTGCAGCAAGCCACGGGAACAAGCCATGCAGCCTGCGTTCGAAGCTCGTGTAGTCTCTAGATGGCCAGTTCTCAACATGATGGTCCTTTTGTTTGTACCCTAACTCTAAACCCTAAACACCTAGATATTAGGTGCCGCCGGAACCCTAACCCGCAAAATCTTTCAACTCTCATATTTCAAGGAGTGGGATGCAGGGGACGCTTCTTTGTTTGGGAGTATCTTCTATGGCCTATGTTAAGGGGGGTTTAGGGTTTAGGGTTTACTGTAGGGCTGTTAATCTTGGATGCTCATAGGGAGTTCTGGTTCGGGTTTGTTGTGAGTCCTTGTGAGCTTCACTCAACATGGAGGTCCAAGGTTTCCGAATCTCCACTGAGACGGAGGCCTGAACCCTGCTAACTTCGCCACAGCCACGCAAAATCCTGGACCCCAAGACGGGTAGCAGCGGTGTCTCGTAGACCAGCACTGCGATGCCGAACGTGGCAGCCAACGTGAACAACAGCGCGAACGCCAGTCCTAAATCAAGATGCAACGCGAACTCTGTGTGGGATACAGTAGGGGGTTCAGGGGTGGGTGTTCAGGGCTAGAGAGTAGTGGGCGCATTCAGCTCTCAAACCTCGCACTAAACAGGGTTTAGGGCTTAGGGCTTAGGGGTTTACCCTAAACCCTACACCCATCTAAGCCCTGAACCCCAAGCGCCACGCCAGCTTGGTTCCTTCTGCTCGCCGCTCCCCCCCCCCCCCCCCCCAAAGCTGCACCGCAAGTTTCCCCGCAATTTCAATTTGGACAGGCTTGGGGGCTTTGGGGTTTTGAGGTTTAGGGATTGAGGGGTTGATGGTTTCTGGCATTCGGGCTTTCGATGTCTAGAGTAAGGGTTTTACAGGCCCTTTGGTGGGGTTTTGACGTCTGAGGGTTCAGAGAACCCGAAATCCTCAGATCTTCGTCAAAGCTATGTAAGAATTTGGTGGCATTGGGAATTCTGCCGGCATCAAAAGCCGGTAGTCTCCACACATCAGGATTCTATCTCTTAAGCCCCTGGACACTTAAACCCTAAACACTCAATCCTTGCACCCTAGGGTTTAGGGTTTAGGGTTTAGGGTTTAGGGTTTAGGGTTTAGGGGCTCAAATCCTTGAACCCTCATGAGCCCTAAAATCCTTAAACCCCAAACCCAAAACCGTAGAGGGTTTTCCACTCATACCTTCAGGGCCGGAGGCTGAGTCCCTAAACCCTAAACCCTAAACCCTAAACCCTAAACCCTAAACCCTAAACCCTAAACCCTAAACCCTAAACCCTAAACCCCCAACGTATTCCCAGGCTCTGAGGGGGAGCACAACGCTCCGGAAGATGGCCAGCACTACCAGTGTGATCAAGAGCACAGAGACCAGGAGGTATATGGGAACTGACTGCATGACTGTGTCCTGGGAGTAGGGGTTTGAGAGCTCAGTAAGGGTGTTTCTGGGGGCTCATGAAGGAATGCAGGAGGTGCATTTCAGGGAGGTTTTTTAGCAGCTAGCAGGTTGTTAGTTGACATAGCGGCCTTGTAACATACTTGGAGGGTCAGGGTACTTCTAACCCCATGTATAACCGTACTTATAAGCCCCCTGAGTCCCCTAAGTCCTCGAAGCAGGTTATAGACTGATAAGTGGGGCTATAAGTACCCATGAACCTCCAAGTACCTCTTCGACTGCACATGCAAAGGGGGTACAGCGGCAGCAGCCTTGCAACGACCGCGGCATTCTAAGCCTCCCGTATTCTCCCAACGCTTTTGGAACTCTGGGCTCGCGTAACGGTCGCGTCGCCTCTGCGATTCTTAGCTCACATGGCTGACCGTTTGGGGGGTTTAGGGTTTAGGGTTTAGGGTTTAGGGTTTAGGGTGTGCCGCGCACAGAGAATGCAGCCTGGATGCTAGGGCTCCTTGACCCTCATCCCTGGAGCTGATTTTTCTTTAGGGGTTCAGGGTACTTATACCCCCAATTGTAAGTCCACTTAAAACCTTTTTGCTTCAGGGCTCCTGTGGTAGCTTGCCTGTGAGCGAGGTTGTTCAGGCGACATCATGCGAGTCGGATGACTTCGTCAACGACCCTGTCCTGAACCTCTTCGTCCACTTAAAACCTACTTCGCGGACTTAGGGAACTTGGGAGACTTATATTAGTGCAGTTGCAATTGGGGTTATAAGTACCCTGAACTCCAAGTAGGAAACTAAACCTGAAACCCCAAACCCTAAACCCCGGACAGTTGGACCATCCCAACGCCACCTGCGCATCCACCACCAGGGCCGCACCCCCACCGAGCGAGGCCGAGAAGGACGGATGCAGGCCTTTGTCAGGCAGCTTAGGGTTTAGGGTTTCGGGTTTCGGGTTTAGAGCTTAGGGTTAGTTAACGCTTAGGACAAAACGGGTTCAAAGGCCTCTCTACCTACTTCGGGAGAAGCCCGCCAAAAGTTTAGTTAGGGTCTTCTCCAAAAAAGCAACACAGCACATGATGCGCGCTATGGATGCTGAGCACACAGTTCACTCCTCTACATGAGAGCACGTTTCCAATCCAGCCTTCCCACAGCCGCAGGCCCTTGCGTGCCGCCCGTAGCCAGGCAGCACCTCACACGCGTGAGGTCGCTGGGTGTGGGGGGGGCTTTGCGACACCCTATAACCCGAAACCCTTAACTCCATATAAACCACAGAACCCGATAACCCTATACCCGAAACCCTGGCCCATCGACTTCATGGCTCGCCGATGTGCTCAACTGCAAGCTGTGGGAGAGTCCCTCTCCCCCCTTTCTCCACCCAAAGTTTAGGGTTTGGGGTTTGGGGTTTAGGGTAACTACCCTAAAGCGCAAAACTTAAACCCTACCCTAACAGCCCAAAACCTACTTGTTTGTAGTAACCCAAGAATCCTTCTTGAGCTCCAACGAAGCTTACCGCCAAAAGCGCCTTCTTGATGCCCTAACAACTAAGCTTAAACACCCACTCTCCCTTAGCCCTAAACCTATAAACTAGCCAGGCTTGCACGTTTCGAGTTAGAAGGGCATCATCCAAGAAGCCACGAGGACCGCGAGGGAGGAAATCCACAAAGACCTTCTGAGCGTTTAGGGTGTTAGCGGTGTGATTTCGGACGTGGAACTTGATTTCGCTCAGGGTTGAGGGTGTAGGGTATCATCTCCAGGTTGGTAGGAGGAGGGGGGGGTGGGGGGGGCGGGGAGGGGGTGGAGGGGGTGGGAGGGGGGCGGCGGGGGCACTTAGATCCGTCATTGGAGTATGATTTCCAGTATCAAGATTTCCAGCCTCCAGATCACAGATTTCATTTCTAGAGTTCTAGAATGCCCCCAATTTCATGCTTTTGAGGCATTTGCTGAGCTAGTGAAGATGCTCTACCACATGGCTAGAGGTTTTCATAGTGAGATACAGGAAAGCATAGCCTTTGTTCGTTTTTCTTTTTTTTGCGCACATGTATATATATATATATAATACCTATCGGCTCACTGTGCAGGTGAAACAGCTTAGGTTTTCTAAAAAAGGCGCCTGCAGAAGCACCGCAGATCCGTTGACGTGCGTGTCGAGCAAGGTCCTGCGCGGAGGCACCCGCATATCCTTCTCTAATGGTTTAGGGTTTAGGGTTTAGGGTTTAGGGTTTAGGGTTTAGGGGTTAGGAGGTTAGTTGCCCTTAGTTGGGTTTAACAGGGAAATTGTAGTTGCCAAATGAAGGTTACATATTCAGCCGCTGACAACAGAAACCTCTTACCTAAAACCTGTAACCGCGCACCCAAGTCTTATCAGCCTTCCACCCCTGCACCCTAAACCTAAACCCTAAACCCCTAAACGCACCTAAGCCCCTAAACCGTTTAGGGAACCCTAAAAAGCCGAAACCCGAAAAAGAACCTGATAAGCCCCGAAGCTTGCCAAGCCCAGCGGGGTCTTGTAGATGTCGTGCATGGACGCCGGCCCCACTTCTGAGCGGTAGAGCTGGGCCTTCCAACAGGGTTTAAGGTTTAGGGTTTCGGGTTCGGGGTTAGAGTTTAGGGTTTAGGGGATGTAAGGCTTAGGGTTTTAAGGCTTAAAGTTTAGGGCTTCGTAGCCACGAGCTACGGCCTCCAAGCTTGAAACTCTTCTTGACTCTTTTGGATAGTCTGTTCTGCAACTGACATGCAAATCGGCGAGTGTCGGGCTTAGCTTACAAACACCTGCAGCCTTCTTCCTTGGATCTATAAGAACCCCTAACCTGAACCCAAAACTGGCCAAAAAAACCCAACACCCAAAGCCCAACACCCAAAACCCAACACCCAAATCCCAAAACACCCTAAGCCCTAAGCCCTAAGCCCTAAACCCTAAACCTCTTGGAGGCCTTCTGCCAGTCTATGGTCTGATCCAGCAGCCGCACCGGGCCCAGAATGGAATCGACCTCTTCAGAGTGCCCAGGAAGCATAGCACCAGAAAGGGTTTAGGGTTTAGGGTTTAGGGTTTAGGGTCTAGGGCCCAGGGTTTAGGTAAGCCCTAATCCCTTTAAACCCAAAACTCGGTCCGCAGAATGCCAAGACTGAGGGGAACGCCGAAGCCTGCAACCCTGATGGTGCTCCAGCTGCGGTGGGTACTGGGGTTCAGGGTTCCATCTCACCCTCTCGGTAGGCTTGCGGGTTTAGGGTTGACTCTTACTTTTGTGGCATAATGAAGATCTTCCCCTCCACAAGCGCCCACCATCTGAGGCCAGTCCATAACACCCAAACCCTCACCCTAAGCCCTGAACCCTGAACCCTCAACCCTAAACCCTTTCAATCCGAAACCCTTTAAACCCGAAACCCCAAACAGTAAGAATGGAACCCTCAACCGCGGCCCACTTCCACAGTGCTCCGACCCCCCTCTCCTGGACTCTTGCCCACCCTTGGCAGAGGGTTTAGGGTTTATAGGTCTTATATTGCTTATTCTTTTCTAGTACCATATAAGTTATATACCTCTACAGTACGAAAATATAGGGTTTAGGGTTTACAAGTTTAGAGGTTTAGAGGTTTAGGGTTTAGGGTTTAGGGTTTAGGGTTTACAAGTTTAGAGGTTTAGAGGTTTAGAGGTTTAGGGGTTTAGGGTTCCCGGGTTTATAGTGAAAAGGGCCCTTGGCATAGAGGGCTCGCCAACAGTCCAAGGCGCCGAGCCGATCTGATCCAGCATGTTGCCTCTGCTTTTTTGGCTCAGAAGGTTTAGGGTTTAGGGTTTAGGGTTTAGGGTTTAGGGTTTAGGGTTTAGGGTTTAGGGTTTAGGGTTTAGGACCCCTAAACCCTCAACCTAAACCCTGAAGGCCTAAAATCAGCGATCAGCGCTCCTCCCCCCCCCCCCTCCCCGCCCCTAAACCCTCAAACCCTAAAAAACAACCCCCAAGCCACCAACCGTTGGGTTCCGTATCAAAGGCAACATTTCTTGACTGCCGCGTGGGATATCAAGATTCAGGAGGGTGGGCGCTATGTGGTGCTAGGCCGGGTTTAGGGTTTAGGGTTTAGGGTTTAGGGTTTAGGCTTTAGGGTTTAGGCTTTAGGCTTTAGGGCTAGGCCCAAGAGCAAGCTAGGAACAAAAAAAAAGGGTGCCGTTTTGGGTTATATGGGCTGAGAAGGGAACCTAAACCCCAAGAAAAGGGGATGAGTGCCTACTCTGGGTGGTACGTTCTAGTTTTTAATTCGTAGGGTAGTTACTCTGTCCCGGAAGATAGGCAAGGGACATATGAAGGGACCATGCAATTTCCCTGAGACTACCTAGGGCTTTGGCCTGAGGACTTAAGGTCCCCTAAACCCTAAACCCTAAGCCCTAAGCCCTAAGCCCTAAACCCTAAACTTTCTCCATACGGCAGCCGTTTTAAGGCCCACCGTGCCAAGCGGCACAGCTGAAGCATGGCCTCAAAGCCCGTCCTTAGAAAAAAAAGAAAACATGCCCCTGTGTTTGTAACTCGTAGGGCTAAGGGCCAAGGAGTGTAGGGTTTAGGGTTTAGGGTTTAGGGTGTGTGGGAGTTTTGAGCTAGGTTGGCCCTTGACTAGTGGCAGCGTATGTGCGACAAATCGTGGCGAGCCGTCCTGACCCCTTGTCATTACACGAGATGCTTGCAACACGTTTTGAGCAGCCTCAAACCTCATGGGAACTTCTTTGAGCACAGCACAAGTGGGATCATTCTGGACATGCCTTCCAAGGCCAAGCTATCCGTTTATGAGAACTGCTGAAGTATGGGCCCTGGTTCTCCGTCATCAGCGCATTGGGGCGCCCCGTAGCGCTGCTGTCGCGGTCGCGGAGCACGACCTCGGTGTGTAGTGAACGCGACCGGGTAGACGGCTTGGCTTTGGGTCCAAAAGATTTCGTGCGGCTCTGAGGCACTATAGATCCTTAGGACGGAGGCGGAAGACCCAAAGCCTCGTGAGCCCCTATAAAGCCCCAAGCCCAAAAATTCTTGGAATCAACAAGCAAAAGCTTCGGGTTTGGGACTTCTGGGCTTCTATAGCCTTGAACTCTACGTTTCAGGCACCGAAATCTTTCTTAGGCCACAAAGCTACAAAGGAGCTACTACACGGCGCATTATTATTATTATTATTAATATTATTAGCCTTGTTGTCAACCTCACCCAGGCATCCTCCCACGCTTGCTTCTGGAAAAAGGGGGAGTAGATGTCCCCCATCTGCAACATGTGCCAAACTCCTACTTCTGAGGTTGCTATTTTATTCTTACTATTATTATAACTTATAGTATTACTAACACTATTTTTGTTATTAGTACTATTCTGATTAGAATTATTATTACTATTCTCAGTATTTACTATTTATTATTTATTACTTATTAATTCCTGTTTATAGTTTTCTATTATTATTATTGTTACAGGGCCTGAGTATCAAGCCGTGTAGGGGTCGAAGCGGCCGGCGGGAAACTCCGCCCCAAGCTGCCTTCGATCGGTTTAGGGTTTAGGGTTTAGGGTTTAGGGTTTAGGGTTTAGGGTTTAGGGTTTAGGGTTTAGGGTTTAGGGTTTAGGGTTTAGGGTTTAGGGTTTAGGGTTTAGGGTTTAGGGTGTCTCAATGAGTGGGCGCGCTGGTGCTAAAAGCACCCAGGCGCGCGCCCCGACTTGCATAAGCCCACCCCCGCTGGCGCTCCACCCTCGCCTTAACCTTTACGGGTTTAGGGTTCTTTTTGAACTCTGATCGTGCTTTTGTTATTTTTCTCTTGTCCATTGGCTGGGTTAAAAGCTCGGCATCGATGCAGATCAACTACCCTGAAGTTGCAGCCCTTAGGCATTGCAAGGGAGATATCTATCAATCGAGGGCTGCTGGAGGTTTGGGCTTGGGGCTGGCTGCCGCCTTCGCCCTCGGCGATGCTGCGTGCTGGGCGGGGGTTTGGAAAACTTGCTTGGAAGGGCGTGAAATCAAAGGTTTGGGCTTTCGCCATTTCTAATGTTGGGCTTAGATGTCCATCATTCGAGGGCTTCTGGGAGGGCCAAAAAGTCAAAGGTTTGGGATTGGGTTGGCTGCCGCCTTCGTCCTTGGTGATGCTGCGTCTTGCTTGACCCCCTCATTTGGGGTGTTTTTGGCTGGAATCAGTGAAGGCTCGGTTTTGAGCAAAAATGCAGAAAACGAGAGCCCACCCAGAACCGTCGCTTGAGTTCTAAAAAATCGCATTTTTAATTGGGGCCCGGGCCGATGCTGGGGTCCCCCTCATTGGGGTGTTTTTGGGGGCAAACTTTCCCCTTCAAGGGGGGTCGGAGTTTTGAGCAAGCGGGGTCTCGCTTCCAAAATAAGAAAAGGTCGCCGGGGTCCGGTGACCCTTTGAAGGTCCCTTAGAAAAGCTCTTGAAGAGCCAAGGCAAGGGGCCCTGTCAGGCAGGGGCCTCCCAGGCACTGGTCTTAGGCAGGGGCCACCCAAGACAGGGGCCTCCCAGACAGGGCTCCCAGGAGCCTATATTCTGAGCCATGAATTATGCAAGGGCCTCCCAGGCAGGGGCCTCCTCGGCAGGGGCCCATCCATGATTCCCAGACAGGGGTTTTGGACAGGCCTCCCACGGCCTCCAGGCAGGGGCTTCCAGGGGCCTCCCAGGCAGGCCTCCCAGGCTCCCAGGCAGGGGCCTCCCAGGCAGGGCCTCCAGGCAGGGTCTTCCAGACAGAGGCTGGAGGCAGGCCTCAGGAGCACCCTCAGGCAGGGGCCTCCCACGCAGAGCCTCCCAGCAGAAACCTGCCAAACAGGGCCTCCCAGGCAGGGGCCTCCCAGGCAGGCCTCCCAACTCCCAGGCAAGGGCCTCCCAGGCGGGGCCTTCCAGACAGGGGCCTCCCAAACAGGGGCCGGCCAAGGCAGGGGCCTCCCAGGCAGGGGCCTCCCGGCAGGGGCCTCCCAAGCAGCCAGGAGGGGCCTCCGACACAGAGGCCTTCCAGGCAGGGGCCTCCCAGGCAGGGCCTCCCATCTCAGGCAGGGGCCTCCCAGGCAGGGGCCTCCCAGGCAGGGCAGGAGGTTGCGATGTTTTGCCCGAAGGTTTGGGGTATCTCATTCTAGGGCGACCTGACGGGTTTCTCGCCAGCGACCTGCCGGGTCCACCGCGCAGCCCGCAGCTGCCTGCGGGACTGGAGCTCCGTCGCCCGCCGGAGGGCTTCTGGCTCCGGAGCGGCCTCGCCTGCCGGCTTCGGCGCGTTCGCCCTGCTCGACGGCCCCGGGCTCACTCAGTTTAGAGTTTAGGGCCCAAGGCTGGTGAAGTGAGATGCTTGTTGAACAGCGTGTGGCCAAAGGTTGGTTTGGAACATCAACCTTCGTTGTCGGCATGCGTGTTCTGCATAGGGCCCCTAAACCCTAAACCCTAAACCCTAAACCCTAAACCCTAAACCCTAAACCCCAGGTCTTCTTCAGGACCCCGCACTTCGACCCGACATGGAAAACCAACCCACCGAAACACTAAACCGTTAAACCCCTGATCAACCCCTAAACCCTGAATCGCTGAAACCTGCCGCCGCCCCTTTCATCTCTGCTGGGAAAGCGGGTGCCGTCGTGCGTTCGGCGTGATCAGAACCGTCACTGCAGGAGCTGAAGAGCCTGCCGACGCCCCTGAGCGGTCGCCAGGCTTGGTCGCCAAGCTGCGTCTGCAATAGCGGGCAAATATTATTCTTGCATTGCCCGGATTTGAAAAAAGGAAAAAACGCCGCCCGGCATCCACGAATCCTCCTGCCCTTGTGGGTCGCACACAGCACCTAGAGCCCCCTTCTTGGGGGCCCTTGAAGCCCGTCGGCAGGACAGTAGGGCTGTCGGAGTGCGCTTCAGGGGTCTCACGGTTCTCGCGTAGCAGGGCCACGACTGAACGCCTTGGAAGCAGGCTTGGTGCCCAACACAGTTGTTGCTTGGCAAGGATGGGCAGAAGTACCTGAGGCAAGGCGGTCTCACCAAGCGAAGTGGCGCGTATGCTGCAGGACCTTGTGGAAGGCTCTGCAGGCAACGGGCCCCACCCCCAGCCAAGAATGAAGCAGTACTCAGTACTAAAGTTGTGTTTTTCACTTTCCGGCTTGGCTAGCTGGATCCGGCTCGGGTTTGTTGAGTACTTCGTGTGTGGGCAGGTCTTCATACCACTGTGCGCTTCTACAGCCCCAAAAGCGCTCTCAACCCCCTCACCGTGAACCCTAAACCCCTAAACGGCCAAGCCGTCAAAAAGGCGAAGCCCCTGGCCCGGCCCTGAACCCTTTGAATCCGGAACCCCCAAAACCGCAAACCCTAAACCATCCTAAACCCTAAACGCCACAGCCCACACCCCACATCCCACAGCCCAAAGCCCTAGGGGGCTTGGAGGTCTCATGGGAGATCCTTCCAGCACCCCTTCAGGAGGTTTAGGGGGTTTAGGGGGTTAGGGATTTTTGTGTCCAGACTTAAGGGGGTTCAGGCTTTGGAGAACAAACGTCACATGCGTGCCTCATGGCCAAAACGCTCGGCATGTCTTTGGGCAGCGCCGCATAGATATCAGCTGTTCCTTGGACCCCCACCCAACTATGCACATGTATCCTGACTTCGATCACCCTCCCTAAGCCCTCTTTGCTTCAGGGCTCCTGTGGTAGCTTGCCTGTGAGCGAGGTTGTTCAGGCGACATCATGCGGGTTAGGGAGCCCTGAACCCTAAACCCTATGACCCCAAACCCTAAACCCTAAACCCTAACCAAAAACCCTGAACCTTCCACCCTAAACCCTAAACCCTAAACCCTAAACCCTAAACCATAAACCCTAAACCCTAAACCCTAGGCCTTAAACCCTGAACCCTTTGGGTCTAAGGATCCCCGAGGCTACGCCCAGTGGCTCGAAGCCTCGGAGGCTCACATCTGGCTGCTTGAGGATTTGTCCCTAGGGTTTAGGGTTTAGGGTTTCGGTTGTAGGGCATAGGGATTAGGTTTAGGGTTTAGGGTTTAGGGTCAGGGTGTCTACTTGGAGGTTCATGGGTACTTAGTAGTGTTTAGCTTGGGGTCGTTAGGGTTTGAGGGTGTTTAGAATTCTCAGTAAGGATATGTACTTACAAGTAGGGTTATACGTACCCTAAATAAGCCCCACTCATAGCCCTAGCTTAGAAATTACCAACCTCCAAGTAGTAGCGTGCAACTGTCACGCAGAGCAGAGGAACCACGCAGTCAAACATGTCCTACCTTGCCCCTAAGATGGCCCTCAAAAAGCCTCAGGACATATTCATGAACATGATCCCCTTAAGCCCAATAAGGGAAAATGCGAAATGAACCCTAACCCCTCAACCCTCAACCCTAAACCCTAGACCCTAGAAACTAAATCCTAGACCCTAGACCCTAAACCCTAACCTACTTTGTCATGCTCTGGCCAGTGCCTGCAGCCGGGCTTCCGTGCAGCCGTGGGATCTGCCACGTCACCGGCAGAAAGAGGAGAAACCTATCTCAACTGTCAGGCATCCAGGAACCCCAAAACAGCAAACTAGCACATGCTGCCACTAAACCCTAAACCCTAAGCCCTAAACCCAAAACCCGAAACTCTAAACCCTAACACCCAGTCCCCTGCACCTCTACACAGCGGCACATTGGAATTGGAAACCCAGAGCCCTCCCTAAACCACTAAACACCAGAACGCCCAAGGTTTTGGGGTTTTAGGGTTTAGGGTTCACCCCTAAACCCTAAACCCTAAACCCTAAACCCTAAACCCTAAACCCTAAACCCTAAACCCTAAACCCTAAACCCTAAACCCTAAACCCTAAACCCTAAACCCTAAACCCTAAACCGTTCAGGGTCTAGGAAAACAAACAGCCAGAAAAGGCCCTCTGGCTTCCGAGAGGCACGGCAGCCACGGCCCCATGGGGCCATCGCTGCACCAGCCGCATCAGCCGAAACCAGCCCTGCGTGGGGTTTAGGGTTTAGGGTTTAGGGTTTAGGGTTTAGGGTTTAGGTTTAGGGTTTAGGGTTTAGGGTTCGAAGGGTTTAGGGCCAAGTTTAGGGTTTAGGGATTGGGGGTTTAGGGTTTAGGGCTTAGGGTTTGGGATCCTTAGAGGGTTTAAGGGTTGAGGGTTTAGGATCCTAAGGTTTAAGGGTTTTTTTCGTCTGAGGGTTGCGGGTTCTAGGATCAACTCCAAGACCCAATCATCTACTTATGCAAGGTAGGGTTTAACGGGCTTGTAGTGTTTAGGGTCCTCGGAGGTGGGATTCTTCTCATTCCGAGCATCCCGAGAGGGACATTCCATAGATGCACTTGCCGCTCACCAAGAACACAAGCAGTCGCCCTACATCACTCTCGCTCCGAATGATGGGTTTTACTTGGAGGTTCAGGGTACTTAAAAACCCCAATTATCACTGCACCTACAAGCCCCCTAAGTCCCCTAAGTCCTTCAAGTAGGTGAGAAGTAGGCTTATAATGGGGGTGTAAAGTACCCATGAACCTCCAAGTAGGTTCACGCAACCTGAACTCAGGGCCCACACCTTGTAGCGGACGTGTGTCTCACCACTGAAGAGGGCCTCCCGCTCCTCAGGCTTGCGCCCCTTTTTGCGAGGTTGGCCAATCCGACTACAAATCCTTCTCTGAAACTCTAACCCTAAACCCTAAACCCTAAACCGTAAACCCCAAACCCTAAACCCACCTGGCTGACTTTCTGTAGTCTTGGCCTATGCTTGGACGGTTCCTTGAATGCCCGCGAGCAGTGATGACTTGGTGAGTGTTGCCCTTTTGCACATCTTAGAAGAAACAACCTCTGGGGTTTAGGGTTTAGTGTTTAGGGTTTACGGTTTAGGGTTGCTCCCTAAACCCTAAGCTAACCCAACACTTCCGATCGCGATCGGGGTGCGCTGCCGCTGAGCTTGCCGGAAAACTCCTCCTGATCACCTCAGGTACAAAGTATTCTTAGGGCACCCGTTTTTAACTCTAAACCCTGAACTCTAGACCCTAAACCCTAAACCCTAAATCCTCTGACATGATTCTTAGGCACCCGGCGCCTCATGAAAAAAGGGGTGCTTGGAGGTTCATGGGTACTTCTAACCCCACTTTCAAGCCTACTCATAACATACTTAGAGGACTAAGGGGACTTTGGGGGGCTCAGAAGTACAGTTCTTACCGGTGTGAAAAGTACCCTGAACCTCTAGGTAAGCTTGGCAAAGAAGACTCAGGACGGCGTTTGTACGCCCGAAGATACCCCCCAAAGGTGAGGGCATCCTCCCCCAACCCATAGATGGGTTTAGGGTTTGGGGTTCTGAAGGTTCACGGGTCGTTACAAGTAGGGCTAGAAGAGCTGTTGTAACCACGAACCCCCTGCTTCTAACCCGAGCAAGATGAACCTCCAAGTAGAGCTTCTTCCCGGTAGCTTCCGAAACTGAAGTCCTGAACCCTACAGCCTAAAGCCCCTAAACCCTAAACCCTAAACCCTAAACCCTAAACCCTAAACCCTAAACCCTAAACCCTAAACCCTAAACCCTAAACCCTAAACCCTGAATCCTAAACCCTTTTGGCATCCAGGCCTCTCCAGAACACTGCCAGGTAAGAACATATCTAGACCCTAAACCCTACAGCCTTTTCCTTGGCTTTCCAACAACCTGGGGGAATTAAAGGTTAACCTTTGGGATCATAAGGGAATTCTACTACACCAAAAAGGTTAAAGGTGACCTACTCTACTACTAGGCTTTTGCATCTGGGCCCTAAACCGCTTGCGCCGGACGGCTACTGCACGCCGGTGCTGTCAGCCATCGCCCGAACAGCAACAGCAACGCCGGGCAGAGGGTGACACCTTGAAAACTCGGAGGTTCTCGGGATGTTCTTGGTATAAACGATTTCCCGTTGAACTTTCCAGGCCTCGCCAGCCTAGTGCCAAAACGCGTGCTCTTTGTTGTTTTTGAATGGGGGCCTATTCACGCCTGATCCCGAATAACTTGGGATGTTCCCCCTTCTTCTAACAGTTTTCAATAATAGGGATTATGATTATAGTACCCCTCCCCCCCCCCCCCCCCCGCCCCCAATTATAATCTCTATTCAGGACGGTGAGCAGACAAGGGGAACATCCCAACTGATCCCTATACTAACCCTACAGCCAGGGTCTCGGAAGCTTGTATCACAAAACAGGCGAAACCTCAAATCCTAAACCCCAAACCCTAAACCCAACCCTGAGACCCCGAAGCCAGAAGAACCCTGAATCCTAGGGTTTGGGGTTTATGATTTAGGGTGTACTAGGAGGTTCATGGGTACCTGAAACCTCAGTTATAAGTCTACGTATAACCTACTGAGAGGACTTAGGGGACTTAAGGGGCTTAAGTACACTTATAGTTGGGTTGTAATAAGTCCCCTGAACCTCCAAGTAGGGTTTGGATTAGGAGCCCACAAAGCCTAAACCCTAAACCCTAAACCCTAAACCCTAAACCCCAAACCCTAAACAAGCCCAGGAGCTGAAGAGCATGCAGCACACCACCGTGATGCCCAGCACCTCGCCAGCGCTGTGCAGGTTCCGCTCCTTGCGGGGAGGCCCTGCCCTGTTGTAAGGTTTAGGGTTTAGGGTTTTAGGGTTTAGGGTTTAGGGTTTAGGGTTTAGGGTTTAGAGTTTAGGATTTAGGGTTTAGGGTTTAGTGTTTAAGGTTGAGGGTGTATGACTCATAGGGTTCAGGGTTGAGGGTGTTTAGGGCTCAGGATTGTAGGGTTTAGGGCTTAGGGAGGGTTCATGGTTGAGGATTTTAAATTTTTAGGGTTCCGGGTTGTATGGTTTTAGGTTTTGTGCTTTTTGACGCGATTCATCAGGGCTCACGAGGCAGTTTGGGGCTAACGGTTTCCATGTTTCGGCTTCAAGAACACACCACCAAAACCCAAAACTCGCATACCCCTAAACTCGAAACTCGCTGCCTTGCTTCACTTGTGCTTTTTGTGCTTTTGACTTGGGTGGGGGGCGCTAGAGCCCTAAGCTTTGCTTCTGCCAAAAAGCAGCGGGGCCCAACGCACGTGGTTTGGGTTCACTTGTTTTTTTTGCCGTCCGCCTAGCTGGCCGCAAGACGCACTGCAGGGACTGCACACATTGCTCCAAGAATATTCACGCTTTGCAGGCGAAACCATAGCTTCACCGACCCATCTCAAAGAGACTGCGGATCACTGCACGCTGACACTGAAGAGGTGCGAACACCAAAGACTGGGTTTAGGGTCAAGGGCTTGGTGTAGAGCTTTATCTGTTTACAGGGTTCTACAGGACCCAATCGGCAGCTGTCCCGCACACCGTCACTAACCCAAGAGCAACCTAGGAAAAAACGGTGCCCGTTTTGGTTTGAAGGGGCATATAAGGGAACCTTTCCCCTAGAAAAAGTGTAACAAGGGCCTACTCCGGGTCCTAGCTAAGGCCCCCAGAGCTCCGGAAGTGTGAGCGCGCCGAAGAAAGCGATGGCGATGAGGCTTCCGCTTACAAGGATCGTGTGCCTCGGATGTTGCTGCTACTTGGAGGTTCATTGGTACGTATAACCCCCAATTGCCAACTGTAAGTCTACTTATAACCTACTTCGAGGACATCGGGGAGGGTGCAGTACACTGAACCTCCAAATACCGGCGCGCGAGATCCGAGTCTGCAGCGCCACCAAGCCCTAAAGCCTAAGCCCTACAACCCAAAGACTTCCTGCACCGAATCTCTTGGCACCATCCCACTCCTGGGCGTCTGGGTTTAGGGTTTAGGGCCTATAGGGTTTTAGGAGGGGCGCATCTATCCATGATGGATGGCCACCACCACCAGGGCAGTTTCGGAAGTAAGGGCCTGCGCTGCACGGCCTCCGTGAGCGGGCAAAGACTCGTAAATCCACGATGCGCTAGGGTGTCGCGTTTCGGGTTTTGGGGGTCTGAGCCAAAGCGGGTCTGGGTCTGGGGGTTCGGGTTCAGGGTCTCGGGTCTAAGTTTCTTAGGGTTTATAGTTGAGCATCAAAAGCTTTTTGCGGTTCCTGACATCTTCTTGGGCAATTTCGCAATTGGATGCTTGCGGTGTGTGGTTCCGCCGGCCCCGAAACCCTAAACTCTAAACTCTCAACCCTAAAAACCACCTCAAGAGGAAGTTGCCCTGTCTCGCAAATGAGGATGGACACATTCTCCGTCAACTCCATGTCTCTCGATCCTCAAGCTGCCACTAGGTTCCCCAGTAGCCTTTTTAGGGGGGGACGCATGAGGAACCTACGCCTAGCCCCATGTATACGTTTCTGCAGGATTCTACAAGTACCCCTAAACCCTAAACCCTAAACCCTAAACCCTAAACCCTAAACCCTAAACCCTAAACCCCCACTTATAATGTACCCAACATGAACCGCCTTGAAGCGATGCCAGGGTCCTCTTCAGCCACTCAGAGATGCCTTTTTGCTTTCAAAAGATGCAGACGTCAACCCCTTTTTTGACCCCGCCCTTTGGGTTTAGGGTTTAGGGTTTAGGGTTTAGGGTTTAGGGTTTAGGGTTTAGGGTTTAGGGTTTAGGGTTGCGGTTTAGGGTTTAGGGTTTAGGGTTTAGGGTTTAGGGTTTAGGGTTTAGGGTTTAGGGTTTAGGGTTTAGGGTTTAGGGTTTAGGGTTTAGGGTTTAGGGTTTAGGGTTTAGGGTTAGGGTTTAGGGTTTAGGATTTAGGGTTTAGGGTCTAAACCCTAAACCCTTTGTCGCACACTTTAGCTGCAAGCTGGAACCCTAAATCCCTCAACCTTATACACTCCGGCATCCAGTCGATCGAGTCTATGCTGAACTTGGAACCCTAGCAAAAAAACTTGTTTTGCTGGTTGTTTGGAATATAGTACCCATGCCAAAAATTAAGAACTATTCCCGAGTATCCCTAAGGAGTGTTGTAAGGCAGCGTAGGCCGCAATGCAACAAAAGGAAACATTGCCCTCTAGCAGGTTCATTTTGGTACTTAGAAGTAGGGTTCGGGTTTCTCGTTTGGGGTAAGTATGGTTATAAAACTTATCTAGGGTACTGGTAGCCCTCCTTATAAGTACGCGTGAACCTCCAAGGTAGGTTCAAAGCAAACCCAAAACCCTGTTTCAAGAGCTAAAGGCGGGTCGGGCGTCTGTTCTCTTCGAAGCGCGTCAGCATGAAGAGGGCATAGTCCAAACCCAGGGCCAGAAGCACCGAGAGCATCGTCGGCCTGTTGGGTCATTAGGAGACGTATAAGTAGGGTTTAGGGTTTATAGGGTTTAGGGTTTAGTACTTGGAGGTGGGGGTACTTATGTTCTAAGTAGGACATCTTTAGTTCTAACCATATTTTGGCCTACTTAGAAGCACCCCAGTGAACCTCCAAATAATGGCAAAGGCTCGGGTAGGATTTCGGATCTCAGTGTCTTGGATGTTGCGAGGTACAGAGGAAGAGGGCACCCATCAGAATCGAGGCGTCAGTGTTCGTTCGAGGCGGTTGTGGATTGACCCGCAGTGCTTTCAAGGGTTCTCATAGGCTAAGGAATGACACGGCTATGCGCTGCCTCTCTCTCTCTCTCACTCGCACTCAGCTCCCTAAGCCATAAACCCTGACCCGGTGAAATCGAACGAAATCCCCCGTTCAAGGTTTAGGGTGGGGGTTTGACGATGAACCAAGTCTTTCTGACGTGCCTGCCACCCTAAGCCCTAAACCCGAAACTCTAATACCCGAGTACAAGAACCCTAAGCCCTAAACCCCAAACCCTAAACCCTAAACCCTAAACCATAAACCCCAAAGCAAATACGAGAGCTAAGGCATCCCAGAGAGCCTAAACCCTAAACCGCTGCAACTTCCTGTAACCCAGTTTATTAACCCAGTCTAACCCAGGTTAACCCAGTTTAGGGTTTAGGGTTTAGAGTTTAGGGTTTAGGGTTTAGGGTTTAGGGTTTTGGGTTTAGGGTTTAGGGTTTAGGCTTTAGGGTTTAGGGTTTAGGGTTTAGTTTAACCCATAAAGCCCTCAAAGCAGGTAAACCCCTCTAAAACCCTAAGCCCTAAACCCTAAACCTCTAAGAAGGATCATAAAAGCCCAGGCTCGGCACATCCGGCGACAACGGAGTCCACCGCGCCAACGGCACCTCTCAGCAAAGGTCCAGGGTTGGGGGTTTATATCGTTTAGGGTTTAGGGTTTAGGGTTTAGGGATATGGCATAGGGTTGAACAGTATATGTTTGGGCTCGTTGGGGTCCTGAGGTGCCAGCTGTTTGGGATGCAGAATTATGATTCAGGCCGAAAAGTTTGGGCCCCACGCAATGGGCCCTACTTAGGTGTTTATCAAGCATAAAGTTTAGGGTTTAGGGGGTTTAGGGTTTGGGCATCTTGGACACAAGCTTTGTCAAACCCCTGCGGCTTACTTGGAGGTTTAGGCTAGAAGTAGGGTATTTATGGTTATAATCTTGATTGGGGTACTTACAACCCCACTACAATGTACCCAAATGAAGCTGCAAGGTAGGGCTTAGGGCTTTTCGGGTCTCAGTCTGTCAGAGTTCTGGGAATATTTCGAGGGCTCCCTGAAATCCGACTCTTCATCGCCCTCAACCTTCAAGGACCCTGAGTCCACCCAGATTTGCAAGCAGGGTTCAGGAATTCTGGGCGAGGCCTAAACCCTAAACCCCTCAAGCCTCACACCTGAAATCACCTTCTTAACCCTAAACCCTAAACCCTCCCTAAACCCTGAACCGTAACCCCTAACCCCTCAACCCTAAACTTCAAGACTCTAAGACCTGCCGCCAGGGCCACACACAGTGCCGCGGCCGCAGCTAAAGACGTCACGACGATGAGAGGAGGCAGAACCAAGAGCCGTATCTGGTCTTTGGCTGGGGTCATAGGGTTACAGGGTTTAGGGTTATAGGGTCTGTAGGGTCTAATAGGGTTTAGGGAGTAGTAGGAAGTATTCGGGCACCTTGGGTTTAGGGTTTACGGTTTAGGGTTACCCCCCTTGAACCCCCCCCCCCCTTCAGAACCCTAGAGCCCGCGGTAGGGTCTAAGAGAATTTGGGAGTCTGGGGTCTGAATGTTTCGGATTCATGAAGCTTTGCGCTTGGAGGAGGTGAAGCCGTATAAACCCCAAAGCCTAAATCCTCAAACCCTGAATTAAACCCCCTTGACCCTAAACCCTTGAACCCCACACCCCAAAACCCCAAACCCCCAAAACCCTAAAACCCCAAAACCCTAAACCCTTTGGGTGTTGAACGGGTGTCCAGGTTTTGGGTTTCTGGCGCTTTTTTTGGGCTTTCAGCAGTTGCAGCCTTTCCCCGGAGTGATCTCGAGGTGTCCCAAACAGAGGGGAGGGGTTAGGGTTCAGGTTCAGGGTTTCGGGCTTTTGGGAATGCAGCACCACAGCCAGAATTGATACTACCAGATCCTTCAAATCTCCTGCTGGTCCTCAAGGTCTTGCTTGTGGACAGGCTTCAACTGCCATATTTCCCAAAACACGGGTGCTCCCTACCCCAAAAATAGTCTAATCCTCATCAGATAACCCCCCCCCCCAAAAAAAAAGAACAAAACGGAGCTCTTCTAGAGCAGTTGGAGTGTTGACAAAGTCTGTAGGGCCCGGCCTAAACCCCAAAACCCGAAACCCTCAAAGCTCGACCCTAAATACTGCGCCCCAAAACTTGGAATGTTCCCCCCTTATACTAACAGTCCGTCATACGGATTCTCCTAACCATTCTAATCCCTACTAAGGACTGTTACTTAGTTGCTGAGTTCATAAGCCACAAAAAAAGTGTAAACTTTCAGTTCTATAGGGGATTATGATATCCCCAAAAAGTGTAAAGTGTGCTCACTCAGCTACTAAGGTTACCCTAAACCCTAAACCCTAAACCCTAAACCCTAAACCCTCAAGTAGGCTAGTATTATGGGGCAACATCCCAACCTTCTTTGTCACAAGAAACTCGACTGCTGCCCTTGCTTCCATCCCAACCTAAAGCCCTAAACCCTAAACCCTAAACCCTAAACCCTAAACCCTAAACCCTAAACCCTAAACCCTAAACCCTAAACATCCCAACCTAAAAGCCCTAAACCCTTCCAGCACTCCTAGCGCTGCGAGCTTGCCTCTCCGACCAGGCGGCAGAAGATGAAGAGTGCCAGAGGTAAACAAAAGACCTGCCCAAGTTACGTAGGGTTTAGGGTTTAGGGTTTAGGGTTTAGGGTTTAGGGTTTAGGGTTTAGGGTTTAGGGTTTAGGGTTTAGGGTTTAGGGTTTAGGGTTTAGGGTGCGGAGCTGCAGTTGGTATTGTAGAAAAGAGTTGGTGTTGAAAGTTGAAGGCTCAATGCACCCGATAATCCATTTTGGCTCAAGGAACTTGGGCATGCGCCCTGAAGAAAGAAGTGTGTGTTGGTTTTGGGTTGGTTTGGTGTTGGTTGGTCCAGGGGATCAAGGGCTTCTGTTGGGGTTGACTGTTTTGTTCCCTGTCCTCCTTCGGTTGCCCCCCGTAGGTTATGAGCCCAAATTAGGCTTCCTGCGGAATAGGTAAAGATTTTTCGTTTGTTTAACGCCATGGACATGATGCGGCGTCGCTCTGAGCCTGGACTGTCGCCCACGGCCAATGAAGCCGAAGGAAATCGCGGTGATGGGGGTGAAGAACGACAACAAATGGTACAAGCGCTGACAGATGGTAGGGAGGTTGCAATGATACAACCAACGCCTCAGGTGGAAAACGAAGTGGTTCCGGTTCCAGCAGCAAATCCTTTCTGGAGCGAGCGGGCTCAAGAAGAAATGAGACTGAGGCAATCAAGGCCGGCAAGTCTTCCTGCGAGCGGAGGGGATAGAAGTGGTGAAGGTACGAGGAGGCCGCCTTCGCTGCAAGATCTTTTGGGTCAGGAACCTGCACCTGTTGAGAGACCATCGTCAGGCTTAATGGGCCAGATGGAACGAGGTACTATTGGTGGAGTGCAAGCAGACGAAGAGCTCATTCCTGATGTTGGTGGTGAAGAACAAAGTGAAGATATGGCGGTGGTAAAGCGTGCGCTGAAAGAGTTGCTTGTGCAAACAAAGGAGCTGGGGAACAGGTTGCATCGGGTGGAGGAGAAAAGCTATACCTCTGCTGCATCTGGGTCAGCTTCGAGAGCACGGAGCACTGGAGTGGTGGACGCAAACACTGCATATCCTCTAGGAATGACTCCAGAGAAGCAGTACCTGCCAGGACAAGTTTTCTACACGGATGGTATGGGTGGTTTTTGGACTGTGTTGCCTGATGGGACATGGCTGCCTATTGAGGGCTACGACCTGCCAAAGGGTTGTGATCTTCAATCCTTGCCTGGGTCCAGGAAGGGGGATGCTCAAGTGGAGGATGAAAAAGAAGTGCCAATGATGCATATAGCTGAAGGGAAGAAACCCTCCAGATTGCCTCCATTGAATTACCCCACGGGAGGTCCTGCAAGTGGTGGATATGCAAGTGGACCACCTGGTTTAACACATGTTCCGATTACTTCCGTGCCGTCAGGTGTTGATGGTTCTGCCGCACTTGTGGGGAACCAGCCCGGTTTTGTTTCAGCTCGGGAAACTGCAACGCAAGAGAACTCAGCAGGATCGGGCGGATATACCATGGTGGATGATGTCCCGTATCGGTGGAAAATGGTTGCTGGGAAGTTGGAATTAGAAAAGGTTCCGCTCACAGCTGTTACGCCTGGTATAGGACATGGACTACCTCAAGGGTCTGGTGGTAGGGTCAGTTTACCTCCTGGAGCAGTGGTGCCACGTGGTATGCCAGTTATTGGTGATAGTTCTGGAACCGAACGTCCGGAGGCTCTTGGGAAGCATGTGATGAGCCTTCCAACTTTGGCAGACTACACACCAAGCAATCCGACGGCACTGGGTGATTGGATCGCAATGATCGAACCAATGTTGTCTTCGCTGACAGATACAGGAAGAGTGTGGTGGCAATGCGTCTACTCAAAGGCATATCAAGCGTATGCCAAATGGTTGAGTGTTTCTCCACTGGAAAGGTTGGGCATCAAGGCTGAGCTGGAAGGTCAAGGTGGTTCAAACTGTGCATGTTTTGTTGGAGCAGAGAGCGGTGTCTTTGCTGCTACAGGCGATTCCGGAGAGATTGAAGACCGAGATCGTTTCCACTCGAATGTTGGGGTCAGTGATGATATTCTACAAATTGCTGACGGTCTACCAACCAGGTGGAGCAAATGAGCGCAGCACAATGTTGAACTTCTTGGTGCAACCATCTCCAGCAACCTCGATCTCAGAGGCCATAAAGGGAGTGCGTCAATGGGCGCAATGGCGTTCCCGATTAAGGGAGTTGAGAGCGGCCGAGCCGGACGCTACCTTGCTTATCAAGGGATTGGATGGTTTATCATCCACGTTGCTGGCAAAACACCCTACGGTTCATTTCAGAGTGGCATCCTTTCGGGAGAAATTGGGGGTGGACTACTCGCCGACCTCTGAAACTGCGACAAAACTAGCTGAAATGTTACAGGCAGAGTTTGAACTGCTATTGCATAGTGCTGGTGATCAAGAGGTGAAGCAGGACTCGGACGCCAAGAAAAGGGCAAGGTTAAACAAGGCCCAAAAGGGAACTGGTGACGAGACAGAGGAGGGTGACAAAGGCAAAGGGAAAGGAAAAAGGTACAGCGGAGATGGGGAACGTCCTTTCTGTTGGATATATGGGAAGACAGATGCAGGCTGCAAGTTCGGATCCCGCTGCAAATTTCGCCATGACAAAGACTCCCTTGAGCGAGGAAGATGTTTTGAGTGTGGGGCCGTTGGCCATCTGCAGCCGCAATGTCCATATAAGGATGGTGCGAGTTCCAGTGTGGACTCAAATCCTGAGAGGAGTAGATCTAAAGGGAATTCTCCCAAAGGGGGAAAGGGCGGCAAAGGTGCGAAATGGGGAAATGCCAAAAAGGCAGAGGTAGCTGAAGGGGGAGATGAGACGGCTAATGCGGGATTGGATAAAGGTTCTGCAAGTCCCTCATCACCATCAACACCCAATCAGGTCCTTGCTGAAGCGTTGGAAGTGCTGAAATCTATGAAGCTGTCATCAGCACAGTCAGCATCAAGCGGGGATCCCAGTGTTCGAATGTTATGTGGCTCTGGGTTGTTTCAGCAGGAAGGGAGAGTGGCGTTGGTGGATACAGCTGCTACGCATCTTGCGCGGACGCTTTTTCCATGGGAATGTTTACCCGACACTACTGTTATGGTGCAAAGCGCGCTTGGTGGTGTGACAATGAGGATTACAGAGAAAGGGACGTTGATTAGGGAAGACAATGGGCCCCTGATTATCCCTCTCTGGTTGATTTTGGAGTTTGGGGCGAACCTCACCGTGATCAATGGGATGTGTCACGTGGGTGCAAAATCTTCGCTGGACCAGCTCTTGTGGTTTGAACATGGCTGTTTGGTTATGGATTACAAAACAGCTGAAAAAATGGTTTTGCATGCTGAAAGGCAGCGTGTGTCTTGGTCCCATTCTCAATGGAGGAATGGAAGGGCGGACTGTGGAGTCGGTTCGTCGGATGCCACGTTGTTGCCGAAGCAGGGAGAAGGCCGAGGAGTATGCGTTCTACATGTGGCCAGGGTTTCTGACACCAATGAGTGTTCGGGAATGGGCATGTTGGACTCGGGAGCATCACATCCTCTCAGATCACTTCGTCCTGGAGAACAGCTTCCGCAGCAAAAGGTGTTGGTGTCTTTAGCTGTTGGATCTCGGGAGATGTGTATTACCCCAGGTGGGACCCTGGTAACTCCTGAAATGGTAGATCCACTAGTGCCAATTGGCAAAGCGAGCGCCTTGGTTGGTCTCAGAGTTCAGTGGCGTGGTGGCAAGTGCACAGCCTCACATCCTGTTCTGGGGGAACTTCGCGTTCGTGATCTGAATGGGTGCCCTTGTTTGGAAAAGGAGGTGGCGCTTCAGATCATTGATGAAATGGATTGGTGCTCACCAAAGCAAGCTTTGAAGGTGGCACGTATGGTTCAAGGGTGTCCGAATACGGACAACGAGGTGGCTGTAAAAACGTCGTTGCAAAGCGCAGCGCGGACAGCGTCAGCGAATGAGGAGGAGTTCGTCCAGGCATGCTGGAGATTTCTTCGGTGGTATTATGGGGATATACCAGAAAATATGCTGATGGAGCTGTTGCCACGTGGAGATATTGCGGCGTTGCCTTTCAACCGTCATAAAAGGAGACGGCTGGCACGAGCAAAAAGGGTGGTGGTACACCTATTTTCGGGAAAACAAAAATGGCATTTTCCCAGTCGGGATGTGGAGGTACTGGAGCTGGATTTGAAGAAAGGCGGTGACCTACATAATTCGAGCGTCTGGAAGTATCTTCTGCATCTGGCGGCTGAAGGAAAGGTGGTTGCTGTGGTTGGAGGACCTCCATGCAGGACAGTGTCAAGGTTGAGAGGTGAAGACGGTGGTCCACCTGTATTACGCCGGCGCTGTGGGCCTGAACGGTTGGGAGTAAAAAGTCTTCCTTGGCCACATCAAGAATTAGCTCAAAAGGATGGTGTTTTACTTCTGAAGATGCTTTTCCTATATGACGTGGCGGTGCATTCAAGGTGTGGAACTGCTGAAGTCATCAATGGAAGTTCTGTCTTCTTTGGCATGGAAAGCCCGGGGGACCCTGAACTCATAGGGAAGGATTTCTCTCAGAACAGCAAAACGGTCTTGAGTGCTGAGGATCTGGTGGATGGTTCTCAGGAAGGGCTCTCGAGTCCTACCTTCTGGAGTTGGCCGGAGGTGAAAAGCTTTTGTGAGCGTTATGGAATGTACGCTGCACATGTTGATCAAGGAGCATTGGGACATGCTCTGGTGAAACCTACGACTTTCCTGGTGTCTGATATGGAACTATGGGAATCGTTGGAACAGGTTCGCGTGGTTGTTCCGTGGTCAGCAACATTCGCTTCTACCCTGGAAGAGCGTATTGGACAATCCTCCATATGGGCGCGATGGGCGTTTGGATTGGTTAAAAGAATACGTCACAGGTTGGCACAATGGTTGCATGAGAGCGATGCTGAACGGGAAGCTATGGTGTTAAAAAAGGAAGAACGAGAAGGGACGTTACGGAGGTTGACAGCTGAGGAGCGAGCTTTCCGTGACCATTGCCTAAGGGGGCATATTCCTTTCAGACGTGATTGTCAAATCTGTGTGTCTGCCG